AAGTGTACGAGATTTTGGCCCTGTTAACTGTTAGCGTTTTTCCCGCAAGTGGTAGATTTTTGGGAAAAATAGAAGAGGATAAAGTTTCGTTAACTTTTATGCGCAATACGATGGCTTGAATAGATTTTCTAAATTTCATATTGTGAGATCTGAGACTGATTCGTTTTTTCTAGAATTTTAATAGGACAAAGTTTCAGTATTTTTTGGGGCACAGTATGACGACTTGAATAGATTGTTTAAATTTGCAATGGTTTTCGCGTAATAGCGATACCGGTAATTTTCTTAAATTTGACACTATGAGATTCGAGACTGAATCGTCTTTTTCAGAATCCTAACAGAGCAAAGTTTCGTTTGTTCTTACGTACAATACGATGGCTTGAATAGATTCTTTAAGTCTGCAACGGTTTTCACGAGGATACCACAAGATTCGCGTCTTTTTCAGAATCTCAACAATTCCCTAACAATTAATTAGACTTATCTCAGATTCAACGAACGTCCCGATGCTTATGAAAGGAAGTGTACGCGCAAGCTTTTGAAAAACACGAGGACAAAACGAGTATTACTCCTTCCTCGGAAAGGAGAACAAAGGACAGCACGAGGAAACCTCGTCGCATGTTTCTTTTTACCGTGCCTCGATATTTTTGCATATCGTACGATGGAAAACACGTTTGTCTGATTATTGTGCTCGCGCCCGCGCGCGCGCGCGCGCGCCTCTTCGTCGTCGCGCGATTCTGCACGTGTAAACGCGGAACGGTCTCTCGCCGTATCCTGTTCTACGAGAGAGCGCCGAAGGAACGCCACGATCGTCACAATGGTGTTAATCTATTTATCTGACTAACAACAAACTTATCTTGTGACTCACTTGCCGGCGGATTCGCGCGGTCGCGGTCGAGAGGGCTTGATCGCTTTCCGCTCGCGCGTTCTCTCGATGTGTCTGCGCGTGTGCATCAGTGTGCCTTATGTACACGCAGCAAGCCCGATTTTTACTGCCGGATTAACGACTGACAGTTTTACTGCCGTATGTACTCCATACGTCGAGGGACTCCTTCACAGAAGCGTTCTCCGTTCTCGTGTACGTACAAATCGGGACGTCGTTCCGTAGTGTCCCGTTGCTGCACCGTTCTCCAATAGAATTTTTCTCACTTTCAGAGGATCTGCGGTTCTTGTAATATGAATAAAAAAAATTTCCAAATTTCCTCCTCCCACTTCTGCAGCGAAGCAATTCTCCGACGAATTGCGAATTGTATCGACGGTGACGTAATCTCTGTTCCGGTCTTTCGTTTCCGGATGCAAGGAGATACGCGGTCGGGAAGGGTTTACTCAATTATGAGTAACCTGAGAGCAACCGTGAATGACTCAATGGTTTCGTATTAATTGGCATTCCGCGTTATCGTAGTCTAGAGATAAAGGGATTCTCGGTGCTGTCCCCCCCCCCGCCTGCGGACGTTGTTTGTCTCGCTTTTTGTTTTCTCGTTCGACTCAGGTGGGTAATCGACCGAGGCGAGAGAAAAACGTGGATACTCCAATTCTTTCGAGTAGAAAATTCGGAGAGCGTCTGTTCAGAGGTGAATAAAGAATGTCGTGGTTCTTTCTTTTCTTTTTTTTTTTATATCAAAATATATTTGTGCATAGACAAGAAGACAACCGTGACAGGTAATCTTGTACCTAACATACATCAGTCATACGCCAAGGAACGCGTGCACATGCGTGTCGTGCGCGGACATACACGTGTGTGTGTTTGTGGGTGATGTACGCGTACACACGTTTGTTTCTTTTTTTTTTTTTTTTCGTTTTTGTTTTTTGAGTCGTGCATCACCGAGAGACCCGATAAACGTCTTAGAAAAAGGGAAAGAAAGAAAGAAAGAAAAAAAAAACAAAAGATAAAATAGAATAGAAAGGAGGAGATGAAATGTTAAAAAACACTTGTCGCACAAGTACGTATATAAGGTAAAATAACAAGTATCGTTCTCTCGCACGTGATCGAATCTACGCACGAAGAAGACGAAAAAAAAAAAAGAAAAATGAGTTAATAATAATGAATGAAGCCCGCTTCACGCGATTT